CTGGCAGCAGTGGCAGACAACTAAATGCATTTACATTACATAGAAAAAAAAAATCAAAAAAAAGCATACCCTTATCCCTAACCTAGCTATGCTTTTCCCTATCTTATGAACAGCAGCTACACTTTCCCTCCTCTTACTAAGCATGCAGCTTGAGAATGAATCTAAAATGGATGCTGTCCAGTAGGTGGGAGGGTCTGCTAGGGAGGCTGTGCTGCTAATTGGCTGGAATGTGTCTGCTGACTGTGAGGTACAGGGTCAAAGTTTACTCAATGATGACGAATAGGGGGCGGGTCGAACCGCGCATATGTTCGCCCGCCGTGGCGAACGCGAACATGCTATGTTCGCCAGGAACCGTTCGCCGGCGAACCGTTCGGTACATCACTAATAGTAACTATGCAAATATGTAATAAGCAGGGCCGCCATCAGAAATTTTGGGGCCCCTAACACAGCTCAAGGTCTGGGCCCCCCTTCAAGCCCGCCCACAGGGTCCGCCTCCAAATCCATCCCACAGGAATACACACACACTAACAGATACAGATACTGAAACAGATATACACACATGCATAGGGAGACACTGACACACACACACATATACATGCAGACATACATATTGACAAACATACATACACATACTGCATACTGATATATACATACATACATACATACATACAGGCATTCATACATACACATACTGGCATACATACATACACATACTGGTATACATACCTACATACTGTGATAAAGTGAAGGCAGATAGGCCTTTTAACCCCAGGGGAAGTACATGTAGTTTGTGTGTTGCACAACACAAAGCATTGTTTAGTTATGGGCCCCTGGGGTGGAGCATTTGGAGAGAAGGGTGGGCCAATGCTCCACTCCACAGTTTAGAGATCTTCTGGGGAGACATAGATCCAAGCCAGGGTTTTTTGGACCGTCTCCAACCCACTGCTCAGCTGCAGTTAATGAGCTGTTGCAGTGGGAATAAACCCCTCCTGGCTAGGCAGGAAAAGGAGAGGGATTGCTGGCTTCCCAGGAAGCAGGTAGGAGAGAGGCTGTTCTCTCCAGATAGAGAGTCAAGGAGACTAGGCACTGGGAGTGCAGAAAGGAAGCAGTCAAGGCTGGCTTGGAGCACTGGGAGTGCAGGAGGAAGCAGTCAAGGCTGGCTTGGAGCACTAGGATTGCAGAAAGGAAAGCAGTCAGGGCAAGGCTGGCTTGGAGCACTGGGAGTGCATGAGGAAGCAGTCAAGGCTGGCTTGGAGCACTGGGAGTGCAGAAAGGAAAGCAACAGGCTAGCTAGCAGAGTGTTGCTATCTAATAAGGTTGGTGCAATATGTTTTTGTTAGTTTAACCCTGATAGAGAGGG